TATATATATATATATATATAATTTTTTTTTTTTAGTTTTGATAGACTTAAACTGTTGTTTGATATAACATAAGATTATTTGCATTGAGGATTTAAATGATTAAGGACTTATTATGCCGTAGCAATGTGTTGCTAAGAGATATGTGTGAATGGGCCTTAGGAAACAATGACTGAATTGATGGGCAGGTCTCATAGACATAAGAAAATCTTTGTTACCTAAAGATGGCAAGGTTTCTGAGGACAAGTGTTGCTGATGATCTTGTTAATCTGATAACAAAATAAAAGAGACAACATTTGTTTATTAGTCATAAAGATTCCTTTAACTCATATTTAAACTTCTCAAGCTAAGGTAAATAGTGTCATTAGCTCTTTTGCTATTATCTATTATTACTCTAGAGAGGCACTTGTAAACGAAATACTAAGGGGGTTATATACAAAAAGGTGAAGAGTTTGGAGAAGGCAGGAGAAGTGCACAATCTAGGCCACAATAGGGGATTTGGAAAGATTCTCCAATTCAGTTCACTTTGCAGTTCAGCTATGTTGTCCTAAATTGTTCACTTCTTCTGCCTTCTCCAAATGCCTAACCCCTTAAAAGTTCTTCACAAGTATACTCCAGAATGATAGAAGCCCAAATGTGTTTTGATGCTACAATTTACTTTTATTGAACTTCTATTTATTTCTGTACAATTGGTACATTATGTTGACTATATGTGGTAAGTTTGGGACCTGTCTCATGCTTGACGTCAAATATAATGATCTTTTACAGATAATTTGCGCATCATATTCTACTGTATAATTATACTGTATGTTTTAACAAACCGCTCTGTTCCATATGTATAACTTTCTTTCTCAGTAATGTTTTGCACAAAACTAGAAATTAGCACCCCCTCAAATGAGGTCTAATATAACCTAAACTGTCAAATTATTGTCCAGTGCATGAGCAGCCCTACTATTATACAAAACCACATAATAAAATAAAATTGTAAGGTTTTGTGTCAATAGGCATTTATCTTTACAGAATATACATATATAATCATTTTGTTAAAACATATACATCTGTATATTTTCAACAAATATTCATATTGTGTTATTTATCTGATGTGTATATGGTTTTTAACATTGTACTCGTTTAGTTTGTTATTTTTTAGAATTGTGTACTTCTACCATCTATTGGCTATCTGTATATCAGGCAGTACAGTAAGCACCATTGCTGATGGACCGCTTAGAGAAAATCAATTAAAAGATAAGCTACTTGAAAGGTGTGTTGGGCTCCAGACTGAAGCGAACTGGAAACATTTCACCGAGTGACAAATCCGCAAATCCAAAATTTTAAGAAATGACTATAGGTCAAAGTTTTCCACTGATTTACCCTGAGTTAGGAATATGAAACAACAAATGTGTTAGTCCTAATGCTATATGCCATGAAGAAGTACAGAATGCATATGTAGAGAACTGATTTGGCTACACTGTACATGTAAAACTAGAACCCAAAGCTAGAAATAAACATTCCTAAGATATATAAAAAAAAATAATTAAATTGATCACATTTTAAATTAATATGCATGAGTTTTGGGGGAAAGAACTTGCTTTTAAGTAGCTTCTGATATGCTTTTGATCTGTTTTTGGGCTGCCTCTAACGTTTGAAGAAAGGTGCATGTGGAAGGGCTTTGCACAGTACAAACACAAAAATTCTTACATATAAATTGATGGAAAGATAAAGCTATTCTCTATCTTCCCATCAATGAATATGTAAGATTTATATGTAGGATTTACTGAAAACAAAACAGGGCAAAATGTGGTGAACTTGCCTTTAAATAAATTAAATAAATCCATGTGAATTCTGCTCCATATGATCCCAATCAATATTCAAATATTAAAGTAGAACTACAGGAAAACAGCTAAATACACAACTGAAATGCATAAATGTCCGAACATTTGTTCAGCAATTTGTATTACACCTCTGCCACATTGCACAGCCAGGGAGGTAACTGCAACTTCTTGAATCGGCTTTACTTCTTCCGCCTCCAGGTTCAGTATTTTTACTTACTGGATCATCCCTACATCCCTGCAACTAAGTGATGCTGCTGGCTCATATGCAAGCAAGTGCAGACAGAGAGATGATACAAGAAGCTACATTTTCTAACCAGGAAATAAATGTGTCACCTGCCTGGCTGTGGATCAAAGGCTCACAGATCCTTTGATGGGTAAAGCTGTAAATGCAGGGTCAAATTTACTATACAGCATTGTAGACCTGTGCCTATAGGCAGCTGAGGCAAAGCTTTTGCCCTTAAAATAATTAGCCAAACATGTTTTCAAAGAAAATGTTCTGTTTAAAGGATGCAGCCCTAGTGGTGGAGTGTTGCATTGGGTGCCAAAAATTATGTACCTTTAGAATCCAAGTATTTAAGTTAGACTCTCCAATGGTGGCTGACATGGATTTTTGTTATTGAGTTAAGGTAGTTGGACCTGCAAGTGTCCAGGTGCCACTCCGCTTCAGGGGCTGGGTGGTGAGTGTAATTTGCTTGACAGGTACTGCTATGGAACACATATCTGTATCAGTATGTCCAAGTAGGTAGGACAAGGGAGGTATCTGCAAGTAAGGGTAAGGAGAAATGATAGGGGTAGGGGGAAGGTCTGAAGATGGTTGACTGTTTGCAATGAGGTCCTTGGGTCCTACCAACTCATATACTCATAACTGAGCACTTTTGCTAAAACAGAAACCTTGCAAATACATTTTTCCAGCCCTTTAGCTCAGAGAAAAACAAAACATTAACTGTCATTAACTCAAATGTAATAATCAGAAACTCTCCAGACCAGAAACCTGTAAAGTTAGAATTAGTTTCCCCTTTTATTCATCATGACAGATGGAAAGCTAATGATGTTAAAGTGTTCATCTAATTTTGCTTTGGATCTTGTGGAGGTTCACTATGATTGCGTGTCTCGAGATGTTTTTGTTGCACAGGACTAATGGTTATAAATAATTTAAGATACTATAGAAGGAACAGAATTTGTACAGAATATACTCAGAGGCATAACTAGAAACTTCAGGGCCACAGTGGGAGGAACAATAAAGGGACCCCCCAACCCCGCATCGCCATGGGAGGGCACTATAAACAGGCACCGCGTGGTTAACAGGAAGGCTGCCAAGGTCCCCAGCAAGCGCGGGACCTCAGGCAGCCGCTTTAGTTAAAAAATGTAGTGCCGATATCTGCGTTTAGTATTGGGACATTTTTACTAGTACGAATACACGTGAAAATGCCCAGTGTTGGCACTGGTGCATCCCTACTTAATAATATAATGTATTGCTGGGACCTGCATTCCTGCATAGTTGGTGCTATTTTGCATTGTGTATAATCATTATACAGCAATGCAGAATAGCACCAGCTATCGCTGTCTGGCGGTGCCTGCAGCGGCTCCACCAGACTGAAGCTGACCGACACAGTCTCTCCATCCCGGCACAGCCGCCAGTACATGCCACGCTTCTTCTGCTGCGGGTGGCAGAGTGGTGGGGAAGGAGCGGCACTATTTCTGGGGGGCGGCATGAGGGAGCTGCAGGCCCTCTTCTTCTTCTTTGGGCCCCCCCAACAGGCGGAAACACCAAGGTCTGGTCGCAATTGCGACCACTGCGACCCTGGTAGTTCCGCCAGTGAATATACCTAACCGATCTATGTGATTTTTTAAAGTGAACAAGTTATTATTTGCGTACATTTTTAAAGCAAACTTAAAGGCAGAAATTTAATTTATACATTTTCTAATATTGCTACAGCTATTAATTTCCACAGTTTTATTAATCTTTAAAACCAATCTCTGGGCAAAAAGAAAACTTACACTTCAATGGGGCTACACACACTGCAAGGGTTAAGTGCTTATTTTTTCTAGGCTGGTTTACTTGACTCCAGCTCCTGCGGCAGTCAATGCTCTCTTCAAATAGACTGCTGGAGCAGAGGGGAGAAGAGGCTGTGGAGACCGGTTTAGCAGCCTGGAGGGAGCTAGTGCGACTGAGGATCAGGTAAGTAAAACAGCTTTAATAGTGTCCCCTAGACAAAATGAACATTTAAATCGCGCAGTGTGGGGATAGCCCCACTTCAAGGGTAACTTTTTTCTTTGCCTGGCCATATTTTAGTCAAGATGTCAGCATCCCTGCCATTCTGTTTACACTCCGCTGTTGCCAAGGGAATGAGCTAAATGGATGGGATGAGTTGTTAAGATGTCAGTGGCTACCTTGAAGGAAGCTGTCGCATTCATAACAACTTCCCATCACAAACATGCCCTACTTTTTAGTACACAGTTTCCCCACTGTGTGAATAAAGAGCAGGACATGTTTGCGTTCCTCTCTCTCTATGTCAACTTAAATGTTGGTGTTAATTACCTCTAGTTTCGTTATCTACAAATTGCCAGTAATTCTTTTTTACTTGATTACTGCCATAGCTACACATTGAGAAATTGACAAAAACATGAACTAACTGAATCTGTTGGATGTGTTGGAACACTTAATGACACCAATGATGCTGGGCTTGATTACCAGTGGGCAAAGACTGATGGAGAAGCTGAGTTCCCCATCTTGTGTCAACAGATGGCAGTGGGAAGATCCATAGCCACTAATGAAAATGGAGTTCGCCCATTCCCATCCGCTGTCAGTCACAAGTTGGGTAGACCTGATGGGGAAATTGTTGCTCAGCGTTCACCATCAGTTTCACCTTCCTTGTGTTTGAAAGGGGACATCTACTGCCATCCACTGTCAATTACAAGGAAGTCAGACCTATTGTGGAATTAAAGTCTCAGCTTCCTCATCAAGTGCTACCCAGTAAGGACGCCCTAGTCTCTGTGCCGGCATCCATGCTACAAATCTCATGTCATGGGACAGGGACATGAATTTGTCAAAAACTGTTGGAGCTAATAAAATTGATTTCTATGATATAACTTTGATATAAAGGTAATCTCTGCCTCTTGAAAGAACAATCTAAATTTGCCTTTGTGATAAATCTGATGAGGATCATAAAATGATAAAAGGGCTCTTGGAGCAGTGAAACCAAATGATGAATTAGCCCATGGGACAGTCCAGGCCCCCTTCTGGTGTTTACTGCCCTAGCAGAATGATCGAGACCCAATTTCCAATTCCTCAATTGGAATTCTAACCCCCCAATCATATTCCTTAATTGTAATTAGAATATATATATTATATA